CCCAATGCCCGGCTGGGGCTCCAGGCCAGGGGGTCCTTGAGCAGCTGCCCCAGAACCTCTGCCAGGGGCTCCCAGTGCAGTCGCAGCCGCTCGGCCTGGGCTCCCCAAAGCCCTCAGCAAGCCCCAAGTCCCTGCCAGGAACCCTCAACTCCCTCAAACACAGCATCCCCCACAGCCCCTGCCAGTTCCCCCCATGGCAGCGGCCACGGCCATGGCCCCACACATCACTGGCCATGGCCCACCATGTCCTCACCCAGGGCTGTAGTCCCAAAAAGTTTCCATCCTGGCATTGTCCCCCACGTCTCCATCTGCGCCTGTGTCCCCCCATGTCCCCATGAATGGCCATGTCCCTGTCCATGTGTCCCCACGTCACTCTCCATGTCCCACCATGTCTATGTGTCTCAATGTCCTCACCCACGTCTTAGTTCTATGTCTTTATTTTCACACCAAAGTTGGATATTTTGAAGGGATAAAGAAAAATAAAAAGCCAATCAGGCCATATTGAAAGGATTTCTGCCAGCTGAGGATCCCCGTGCTTGGGTGGAAGGGAACAACGTTTTTTGGAAGGCTTTCCAGACCACTATCTCCAAAATCTTGGTCTTTGACCCATTTCATCAACATCTGGCTGTGGAAGACACCTCTGGGCAATAGGAAATAAAAACTGTGGAATCACTGAGGTTGGACAAGACCTCCAACACCTCCTTGATGCCACCAGAAGATAGGTGGATTGAATGCAAAAGATTTTCTGGGATTGAAAGTCAACAAATCCACTCCCCCCAAGGAATTACCATTGTTGGTCTGTGTCCCAGTGGATGTTCCTGTCCCGGTGTTCATCCAGGTGCCCACAGGGAGCCAGGAAGATGTGGAGCCTCCCAGCCAGGTGTCTTCCCAACACGCATCACCAGGACCACGGATCACCAGGGCTCTGCCCAACGGGGGTCACTGGGGATCATCCAACGCCCATCCTCCCATGGGGGATGGAGCTGGAGCAGCGCACAAAGCTCTTCCCGCACTTGGGGCACTCGCAGGGCTTCCCTTACTGGTGCCTCCGTTGGTGTTGGGTCAAGTGAGAGCCCCTGGAGAAGCTCTTCCCACACTGGGGACACTCGTAGGGCCTCTCCCCAGTGTGGATGCGCCGGTGGACAGTGAGGTTGGAGTTGTGCTTGAAGCCCTTCCCGCAGTCGGGGCAGCGGAAGGGCCTCTCGTCTGTGTGAATGCACTCATGTAGGAGGACACTGGAGCTGGTCCGAAAACTCTTCCCACACTTGGGACACTCGTAGGGCCTCTCCCCAGTGTGAATGAGCTGGTGCTTCCTCAGATTGGAACTCCACCCAAAGCTCTTCCCACATTCCAAGCAGGTGTAGGGCAGTTCCCCTGTGTGGATCATCAATTCATCAGTTCCCCTGGTGTCTCATCAATTCAGAGGTATCTCTGAAGCTCTTCCCACATTTCCCACACTCATAGCATCTTTCCCCACTGTGGATCACCTGGTGTGCCCTCAGGTTGGAGCGGTAGCCGAAACTCTTTCCACATTCCCCACACTCGTAGGGCTTTTCCCCAGTGTGGATCACCTGGTGCCGGAGCAGGCTGGAGCTGTGGCTGACATCTTTCCCACATTCCAAGCACTTGTGGGGCTTCTCCCCCAGCTCTGAGCTCCGGCTGGATCTCTGGCCGTGTTCCCGCCACAGGGGGGATCTTTCCTCCTCGCAGCTCCCTGGGCTGGGTTTGCAGCCTGGGCTGGGTTTGCAGCCCCTCCTTGTGCGAGATCTCCAGGGCTTTTCCTCCTCCTCCATCTGGACACAGGTTGGGAATGAAAAATCCTGGTTTGGGGGAAAAAAAGAAAGGAAAAAGCCTTGGGCTGAGGGTTTCTCCTTGCCCAAGTTCATCTCAGGAAATCATTGGGCATCTAGTGTCTGTAAGAACCTCTAAGACACCAAGATTCAGCCCAAGAAATCCTCCAAAAATCAAGACAGATCAAAAACTTCCAAAACACCAAAAATATGATATCCCCCCAACATAGAAAGATTCAGCCCCCACAAAAAAACAAAACACCAACATTCAGCCCAATAAAGCTCAGAAACACCAAGATTCAGCCCCGTGAAGATCGTGCATCTCTCTGCCCGGGCACTCGCTGCATGGGGGGTGAGGGGGGCAGTGAGGCCGGGCCGGAGCAGGGGGTGCCTGAGAGAGGTCCCGAGCCTGGCAGAAGCCCCTGCACAGCCATGCAAGTGGCTCCTGGCCGGACTCGGGGATCCCCCTGGCCATCCCCGCTGGAGCAGCCTGGTCCTGAGGGACTCTGGCCCCTGCGAGGGACCCCAGGCTGCAGCAGGACAAGGATTCCTGGCCCTCAGGGGGAGGCAGTGACATGACCTGACTGTGACCCCCATCCCTGTGCCTCTGGGCAGGGAGGGGGACAGAGAGGGGCAGAAAGTTAAGCCAGGGAAGGAGGGACAGCTGGAGGGGATGATGTTTCTGTAAGAATTATTTTGCTTCTCATTTTCTTGCTCTGACATGTTGGATAATAAATTCAATTATTTTCCCCAAGTCAGGTGTGCTGTGCCCATGACCAATGATTGAACTGTCCCTGTAATAGATTGCTAACGTTCATCAAATTTCATTTAATATAATTAGTCTAAGTATAATGTAATTGCTGAAGCTGTTTTAGGACCTAACACTGTAGAAATGCCAAACCACAACCTCCGGTTGCAGAAAGAAAAAGCTGAAGTTGCAGAGAAGCCAGACTACAGCAGCTGCAGAGAAGTTAGACCACAGCATCCAGTGGCACAAACAAAAATTAGAACATCTCCTTATTAAGGAGAATTGCCTAACTGTCATAAGACCAACGCCCGATCATGGACTGAGGAAGACTACAAGCCTTCACCCCACGACCACCGGGAGGCAGAAGAAGACCCTCTTCTTCTGGTGGCGCAGGCGCCGACGCGATTCAGGAAGACACCGACACAGGGACTGTATAAAGGGAAACCTCCCCAGCTAAAGCGCGCAGGGGGGGTGGAGACGCTGAAATAGAGCAGCGTCCCCCAGCTCGCCCCAGTTAGCTGGCCTTTTGCTTGCTTTTACCGCTTGCTAAATTAATAAAATTGGTTTTTATGAGTAATAATTTAAATTGTCCCTTTTTATTCAGTCACAACAATTTATATCTCTCCCCACCCTCATCCAGACCCCCGAGCCTTTCCTTGTGTGTTCTGCTCCCCGCCCGGGACAGGAAGGAGAGTCACAGAGTTTTCTCCTCTTTCCGGCATGCCCTGCTCCATCCTGGACTCACCCCCAGCTCGCAGCGCCCGCAGCTCCCGGGCACCCCGAGCTCCCGGCGCTTCAGCGCAGCGGCGCTTCCTTGGCCTCCTACCCGGCCCGGGCCCAGCGCCGGGGCCGCTCCTCAGCCCAGGGGTCCGAGAAATGGCGGCCAAAGGAGGCGAGGCCGTGCCGTGTGCAGAGCCCGGCGCTGGCTGCGATTGGCTGCTGCTGCCGTCACTCGGGGCTGTGGCGCGCGCTGATTGGGCAGAGCGAGGACAAGCCCGGCCCCGCTGGCGCCGCCAGGGCGGCCGTGGGGCAGGAGAGTCGCCATTGCCGGAGCGTCTGTGCGGGCCCGGCAGCGGCGGCAGCAG